CTGAAAAAGAACATCAAAATGGGTCCAAAGATATAGCGAAATAATTTGATTCCATGGGAAGGGTTTCTGCCGTCAGCTATGGAAAACAAATAAAAAGTAATCAGCTGTAAAATTGCAAAGTGGTTGAGTCATCCCAGAGATCTGTCAGCATCAGGGACTGCTGTGTATATTGCAGATACAGGTAAGTAGAATGGCAAGCACAGGAGCAATCGGACAGTGACACTGGTACAGGATTAGCAGAGGGTAGTGGTAATAGTGGTGCTTGACACAGGTGTGTGAGAAGTCAGCAGATGCCACCCAAGTGCCTGGGGGCAAAGACCTCATGGGATGTGGAGAACAACTAAAACCTGTGGGGTACTTCAGGTATTAGCCCCTCCTCATTTCAGTAGGAGGTAAGGAACCTGGATAAGGCTAGAGTTCCAGCAATCACGCTTATAAGGCTGAGCTGTGGAATAATATATTTATCATTGTTTGGGCCTTGCTCCTCCAAGTCATTGTGACAAAGGAAAATGGCTTCAAATTTTATTTTGTGATGGACGATATTGGTAATTTGCTAACTCATAGTTTTTCTGCTTCATTTAATAGGAATAGGAAAATACTTGGAGCAAATCCTGGCAAGAAAGGCTGGAAGGGTGTGAGGCTTGTTAGCTTGCTAGCAGGAGCTTGTTAGTAGGAGAGGCAGTGCAGTAACTGTGCACATGGGCAGTAGAGAACTTGGCTAAATCCTAGTTGCTGGAATTCTCATTCACTTGCCCACTCATATTTACAGAAAATGTCTTTTTGGCTTTCATCATGGAGAGATTAAGTGAGAAAATTAAAACTTGCATGTAAGTACAGTGAACTAGAAAACAACCAAATAATATTTGGTAACACACATAATGCAATTGTAGGGAATATAGTACCAGTGTGTTTGCACTTACACAAAGGTACAATATTATATACACATTCTCTAGAAGGAGTACTATGCCCACTGTACAAGTAATACTAGTGGAACAAACCTCCAGTTTACCAAATTGCTGGTGTCCTTGAGTCTTGAGGACTCAAGAGAGCCTCTGACAAACCTGGCTCCAACAGGTGCGTCTAGCAGCTTTTAACAAGCTTTACTGTCATTTAGTCACATTTACAGGTGATTTTTTGAATAAAAGTTACCTTTAATAGAAATATCTACAGTGTCTGACATGTAGCAGGAGCTCGATAAATGATTTTCAAATGTATGAACAAATTAGTGAATGAAGGTTTTCAGTAATTTTGGTTGAAATGCCTCCTATGACCTCTGGACTTTGGTATCAGATATAAGACAAAACTAAACATTGTGCAGATGGTTTTGCATGTTCAGGATTTTCCAAGCAGAAAGATGATCAAAAACAAAGTATTTACTACATGTGATTTCTTTTGGTGGTTCTCCTTCATCTACATTTGTGATCTGCAAGGCTTTTGACCTGCATTGAGTATACACATTCGCCTCTCTGAGCTACTCCATGTAAACATCAGATAGAGAGAGACTCTGGGTCTGAGTTATTTAGTAGCAGAATTTGCAGAGCATTTCCTGTATTGCTCACAAGGCTGGGCATTTCTGTGACTCCAGACCTATGAGACAGTGATACCCTCTAACCTGTGAAGTAGGTAAAATGGTCAATGCCAAGGGGTGGATGGGAAGGTGACAGAAGCAATAGCTCATTGATGTTTGTCATTTTTATTTGCAATACTTTAGGTCCAAGTTTCAAACTGCAATATTTTTACACTCAAGACACAGTCATGCACAATCCATATTTCAATTTTCTATTGCTTCAACCACAATTTAAAATAACAATATTGAAAACAAAAATCCTTAAAAAGATTGGATGCTGAGGTCAGAAGGATGGAACCATACCATCAGCAGGTCGACAAAAGAAATAACTTACTTAAAAATCAAACAAACAAAAAGACCATAAATACCTTTAATCCAAAGTTACAGAAGAATTTCACTACACATGGTTTACAGATAACACATTTTGACAAAAGTAATGCTCAGCCAATTGAGATACAATTCTGATAAACAATGAAAATGTGGATCCTTCTCAACTTGTTTTGTGTAGATGTTATGAGTATCATCCCAGTAGACATCGCTACCCTGTGATCTGGTTCCTCTTGGCTGATGTACTGAGATTAAAAACTCAATGCATTAGTAGTTACAGGATTCTGTGAAGATCTTATCATCAATAATGAATATAGTATTTGCGGGTCCATAAAGCACACCACACACAAGAACACACATTGAACTCGAATTTTGCACTCAGGGCTGGTTGGCACTCTGCTGTAGGCAGGGAATTGGGACCATCCACTAACTAACTCCCAGTTTACCCTCTTTCCAGCAGTGTACTCATCATACAACTGGCCAATCACTGTGGGAGTTGTCATCAGAAATGCTATCTTTGGTTCCCAACAAATGAATTTGTCAACACTTCTGAATGCTAGTAGCATGTAATTACTTTTTCATTTCTCTCTGCAACTTGTAAGTGTTTAGGTTCACTCTTAATGGTCTCAGCCATTAAAATGCATGGGCTCTGCTATCTTGTGCCACTTGAGAATTGAACTCTAGAAAGCCCAGCACTACTTCACAGGAAAGGAGAAGCCCAAGCACAGTTATATTCTAGCAAGTGTGACAGTGTGTTTCTGTTTCAGCAGCAAATACTGGTCACAGCTTAAGGAAAACCAGACTTTACATACAGACTGTATGGAAAATGAAAACTGGGAACGGTCAACAGAAAATGGACATTAGAACAAAAAACAAAATGAAACAACTGTAAACGAATTGGAAGACTGCCACAAATTTTATCAACATCCCCTATTATTATGAACTTCATTTGCTTGATTTTTTTTTTTTTTTTTTTTTTGAGAGGGAGTCTCGCTCTGTCGCCCAGGCTGGAGTGGAGTGGCCGGATCTCAGCTCACTGCAAGCTCCGCCTCCCGGGTTCAGGCCATTCTCCTGCCTCAGCCTCTGGAGTAGCTGGGACTACAGGGCCCACCACCTTGCCCGGCTAGTTTTTTGTATTTTTTAGTAGAGACGGGGTTTCACCGTGTTAGCCAGGATGATCTCGATCTCCTGACCTCGTGATCCGCCCGTCTCGGCCTCCTAAAGTGCTGGGATTACAAGCTTGAGCCACCGCGCCCAGCCCATTTGCTTGATTTATTTTGTTGTTGTTGTTGAGACGGAGTTTCACTCTTGTTGCCCAGGCTGGAGTGCAATGGCATGATCTCAGGTCACTGCAACCTCCACCTCCCAGGTTCAAGCGATTCTCCCACCTCAGCCTCCTGAGTAGCTGGGATAACAGGTGCCCACCACCACACCCGGCTAATTTTGTATTTTTAGTAGAGATGGGGTGTCTCTATGTTGGTCAGGCTGGTCTCAAACTCCTGGCCTCAGGTTATCCACCTGCCTTGGCCTCCCAAAATGCTGGGATTACAGGCGTGAGCCACCGCACCCAGCCCATTTGCTTGAATTTTAAAAATCATCTTACATACTTCTTTTATCTAACTGCAACATAAGAGACTCAGGCTTAAACATGTGATATTTGCCATCACTATAGCAGGCTGAATTTTCAAGGCAACCTATAATGCCATAGAATGTTAGACTTTTGGAAAGACCCTAAGGATTATCTAGTCCAATACACTTATTTTACAGATAAGGAAACAGCCATGGAGAGGTTAAGTGACTTGTCGAAGGTCACATGGCAATTTAGTAATAAAGCTCATATTAGACTCCAGGGCTCCTTCTTCCTAGGCTAGTATTTATTCCACTACATATGACTTTTGGGTACTAAATCTGTTGAACATTGTGCCTGCCTTACTGCTGGTATTATGGGATAGCATTTGCCTGATGGCAGCTTCTAATGGAGACTCCAATGGCACTAAGCAGTTTCTAAAAGTTTATCTTGCAAGTTCAACCCAATTAAGTGGCAGTAAATGCTACAAGTTGTATAGAATACTTGTACACACAGGTGTACACATGGAGGTGATATCTCAGTTCCCGCATTTGCGGATTCAGTTAGACAGTGTTTAATATTAAACACATTCCCAATGCATGTTGGGTTATATTCATTTGGTCACTTAAAGGAGTGTGGATCAGAAAAGGAATGAAAAAACTAAAAGCTAACCAACAGAAAGACTATATCAAAAACAAATCTTTTATGAAAAATTCTTTCATAGGAGAAATATTTCCATTATTTCCAAGTTCCCATTTATTTCCTTCCCAGTCCACATGCAAATATATGTTCAGAATTGTATGCTGAGTTCACTTCAAATCCCAGGCCCATCAAACTGTCAGTTTACAAATGGTGAATTTTAGTCCTCTTGTTCAGAGCTCAGAGACTGGGAGATACTTGCACTAGTGGCCATACCTCTGTTTAACTGAATATTAACTGCAAGTAGCTTAGATAAAGACCAAGAGATTCAACTGGGGATGGCAGGGTTAAGACTCCCCTAAGTATTTTTGTATTGAGAACGACCAGTAAAAAGCCAGTGAGTTCTCTAGGTATAGGGTCTGCTTTCAGTGAAACTAAGCAACATATCTGAGGCGACTACCTCATTATCAAAGTTCTCACTTAAAATTTCTTTGATGAGTTAGAAGGAAATTCTCCTTTGGTTAGATGGTCTCCCTTACTCTTTAAAAATCACAACTACTGTATACAACCTATAAATAGGCAGAAAAAAGCACATGGAGACCATCCCAAGTCAAAATTAATAGAACTGTAACTGAATGCCAAGAGGCAGACAGTTCTAAATATTTGTTTAATGATTTCAAAGTCAGTTTTTAATTACAAGTCATAACTTCTAATGAAATTAGTGGGACTTGCCCTATTGGTTATTAAAAGAAGAACCTTACCTGAATGATATACAGTAATATCCTGTTGGACAAGAACATGGTGGGAGCTGGGGATTTTATCCTTCTATTCCTCCAAAATTCAACCTGAGAGTCTGTTAAAATGTTCCAGAAAGGTAATATCTGCAACAGATGTTATCAAGGGGGCTAATATAATGGTCACCCCTCCAATCTAAAGCAACCACAAAACAGACACCCGAATGCCATACCAAAGCACAGGGCAGACAGCCTGTTTTAAAGCAGAAGAGTGTGTTTGGAGTTCTAATAGTGACATCTCCCTAGCTTTAACTTATAGATAATAGTCTCCTAAGAAAGCACGTGCCATACCCAAGCGTGTGCCAACCTCAGCACCCAGGCAAGTATAAAGCCTATGGAATAATTGTAACTAGCAAATATCTGTGCCCTGCATGCTCTGGGCTCTGGCCAGAAGGCATCTGCTTCTGTCATCTTTTCTATGTGTCTATAGTTTCCCTTCTGCTGTTTATTTATTATAAAGCAATATTATAACAATATTAAATAAAATTTTAGAAAGAAAAAAAATTCACATAATTCCACCACCCTAATACAACTGATTTCAATTATCTGTGTTCCCAGTCTTTGCCCATATGCATTTCTTTTTATGTAGTTGTAATCCCTGTTTATGTTATTTAAAAGTGATATTATAGAATCTCTCAGAACTGGCAGCCTCATTAGAAATAAACAACCCATTGAGCAAAGGAATATAATTATTTACACGATCTTTGAGCTGAGAAATATCATTTATAGACAAACATCTCAAACTATCAAAACAGTTACACAGACAACAGGAAGCAATTTCATATTTCTTTTTCTTTTAGCAATGGAATGTGCTTCACCGGGGAGGGATAGATGTAAGGATCAGGTGGTTAAACTCAAACATTGGGGTGCACTTCACAAGCCTGAAAGAAATCTGAATAACATAAAGAATAAATACTTGAGTTAAATCTTCTTACATGGCTTGGCCATCCAGTAGCCAAAATGGAACATGGACGCACAAATATTTACAATGACACACACACGAGATCAGCAAGAACGAAGTCATTACCCAACATGGTGACTGATCTGAGGGATTGTGTCATCTGAAAATCCTCATGGGATTATGACAACGCACTGGATCCTTGCTAACAACATTAACGTTCTTTTCTTTTTTAAATAAATAATCTCTACTGTGCTTCTCACCCTTCCCTGACTTTCCCACTGCCCTATTCCTATATCAGGATATTTTGGAATCAACATTGAAGGATGTGCCCTCGTTATCTCAGGGCACACTACCAACATTAAAGATTTGGATAGACTCACCTGTGTCAAGATGAGCTAAAAACAATCCAGGGAAAGAGAATAAACTGTTAACAATCTGGAGTTCAAGTTGCTCGATTGTACCAAATGTGAATCCTTCAGCATCATTGTGGCACGAGAAACAGCTTCTTTCTAATACTTATTAGAAATATACATAACTCTCCAATACAGGGAAGGGGCTTTAGAAGCTGTTCTCATTTGAAAATTTACATAAATACAAATTTATAAAAGTAATCCCTCCTGGGATATGTTATTATCAAATCTTGGTACAAAGTGGTAGTAAAGAAGTACCTGGCTCCTAGTTGTTAATATGCTGAACTGAAAGCGTAAGAGAGAAGCCATTTCTCTGCCTACAGTGATCTGAAGGGTCACTGCTCCAAGGTCTCCAAAATAACAACAAAAAGGCCTTCTCAACATGTAAGGGATGCTAACTGATGAATAGGGCTTCCTAACCAGGTTTTGGGCTCTCTCCACTGGCAGGACAGTCACCAATGTACCAATGTACTGATTTTTATTTGCATCCCAGGATTTCATTGAATTTCCCGGCACTATGAGTGAAAATTTTTTTTAAGTACTTATTTTTAAATGAAATCAAAATTAAGGCCTCTCTCTCTCATTAGAGCAGTGTGGCATTAAAATTACAAGCCCAGATTCCTTTTTGCAAAATATAACATAGTATGCTTCAAATTAATATTAACACTTCATTTTCTTTTCACAATTATTGTTTTATCCCACTGTGGTCTTTTTCAAGGGGAGGAGGTCAAGTCTCTCCCAAATTTTACAGTCAAAGAAAACAATAGGGAAAACAGGAAATACACCAGTGGGGTCATCTCCTAAACATAAACACGTACACTATATAGTTTGCTGAAACTCGAAAGAAAGTGCTTTCATTTTAAGATGTGGATACATGGATGGTTAGATGGATGGATGTACCTTGGCAAAGAAGGAGAGAGGTCTATGTAACTGATCTCTTTCCCCTTCTTGCTGAATGTACATAGGTTCTGTTTAGATTCTTTGTATACTACAAATTAAGAAGCCTTCTATAACACAAATTGTTAGTTTTTCAAAGGCTTAGAGAAACAACTTTCTGTAATTTACAAAATTGTCAGTACGTTCAAAAGAGAGGCATATCCTTTTCTACACAGACACCCTCCAGATATTTTTCTACTCTCAGAAGATTCAGAAAGTGCCAACTGTTGAATTTTTAATAAATAGATATATGGTGAAATAATAGTCAAATTTTGTTATTTTCCCCAAGCCATATAAGGAATTCTGTTGGACTAACATTTCTTGGGATATGATTGTAAGTTAAAATTATTTTCTACTGGAGAGAATTTCACGACTTTTATGAATATGCTTTTGATATTCAAAAGCCCAAAGGACTAAGTATGAACACACCATATTCTGAAACAGAAATAGGTGATACATAGGGAAAATGGGAACAAGTACTTAGAGCCAAATATTGATTGGGATGTAGCCTTCACTGACCTCCCACTTCCTGCAGAGTTGACTGTTTACTATACCACCTTTCTCCAGATCTTTAAAAAACTTTTTTAAATATTATAAATTGTCAAAATGAACAATTTGTATCATAAGTAAATGATGGTTAATGAATCTATTTCCTCCTGGTATGCCTATTTTACAGTGCATATGTTTCATAAGCACAAAAGAGGATTAATTTAGGTATCATTATCTTTGTTTACTTAATATCAGACAAGGATGTCAGTATTCTACATTTATCTGGTTTTGGCTCTCAGAGAAAGTCCCATCTTTGTTTAAATGTGGTTTCTCCTATGAGGATTTCCTAGGTTCAGAACCAGAACTCACCTAGCAGGATGTCATAGTTTCAGTGTGTCCTCTTTCAGGTATTAAGGAGATTAACAACCTGGTTTACTCAACTATCTTTTAAGCATCATTGTGAAAATGTGACAGGATTTCACCATTTGAGCTTTATTTAGATATACACTTTTTAAAAAGCCCTTCCTGAATACACATATTCCTCTCCACTTTTGGAAAATGTCTTAAAAGAAACCTTTTCCAATACAAATGCAGAAAAATAGGTACACAAACCAAGCCACCACTATAGAAGAAGAAGAAAAAATTGCAACTCTATTAGGGCATGGACTTCCACATGTTCACACAGTACTTGCTCTGGTATTTTGTTTGTTTGTTTGTTTATTTTTGTTTTGTTTTTATTTCTGTTTTTTTGCCTTGCTTTTTTTTGCTTTCTTTTTTTTAGAAAAACATTTTGACATCTTTTTTTTTCCTGGACATCTAATGACAATGCAAGTGAAAAACATCACATTGGGTAAGGAGTTTTGAAGGAGGTTTGAATGCAAGAGGGACTACTCTCTAACTTAAAAACAAACACAACACTATGAAGAGGGAGTGTGCATCTTTGAGAAACCTTTTTCTTCAAAGTGAGTGCACAAAATGAGGGGATTCACTACTGGCTCTTTCGCTTCACGGTGGAAGTGACCACTTTATGGTCACTTCAACATTGCTGCCCTGTTTGGGCTGCGATTCAGGCTTACAAATAAATTACATAATCTGAGGGAGTAGGAAAAAGGCTTATAAGAAGTTTCTATTCATTTGAAAGGTAAAGAACCCCCACCCCATTTGACTGTCTTTTCTTCCATCTTTCCTGCAGCAGAGTTTTATTTCAGTCTTACTCATGAGGGAGATGGTGAGGTGTAAGGCTTGCAGTCTTAGCGGCTGCTGTTTTTAATCGCTTCCTTTGCAGCGATAATCAGAGGAGTCAGGCTGGAGAGAGGCTTGGCTAATTTTAAAAATGGATGCTGTAAAAGGAAGGAAAAAGAGGAATTATTGGAATTCTTTCCTCCAACAAGTACACTACTTTACATTTTCAAGCAGCCCTTTTTAATTAAGATATATTTTGAACACCCAATTAAATATCATTTAATTAAAAACGGTGCCAGCTTTTGTCCTTCAGATGTTTTTGTACTTCAATGTCATGAAATCCTCTGGAAGCTGACTGGCAGAGTGAGAAACTCTGAGGGATCTTATAAAATCTCACTGTGTTTGCAACAGTCTGACTCTCTGATTTTCCTAAACTGAAAAATTTATCTAGAGAAGCTGTCATGCTTGGAAAAAGTGTATTTAGTTAACTACTAAAGAACTTTATACAGAAACCAGTGGCTTACTAACTGCTAAACTCAACAGCCGTGCCTCTACCATTTCTCTTTTGGCCCCTCTGCAGTACTTAATAAAAGTGAATATCCCTTCCTTCTTTGAATTTTTTTTTATTTTTTATTTTTTGCCTTAGAAGCCTGTGACATTCTACCATATTTGGTTTCTTCCATGCGCATGTGCACTGAATATTCCAGCTCCATTTTCTTCCCTGGTTTCACTTCCTCCTCCTACCTCCTATTCATGAGAACTTGGCTGCCATCATCTTCTTCTTTTTTATTTAATTTCTTACAGATCTCATTCTCTTTCATGGTGTCAACCCACCATCAGCTTTATGGAGATGACTCCTAAATCCATAGTGTGTGACCTGATCTCTTTCCTGAACTCTGGTCCTAGTTTTCCTGCTGGATATTTCCTATGGGATGTTCTTCCGTCACCTTAAATTCAACATTTAAAAAGTTATGTTACAGTCTCACAAGCAGGGCAATCTTGTGTAATGTAAGCTACAGGGGCTTTGGAGTCAGAGCACTTAGGTTAAATCCTCATCTCTGTTTATTAAAATGGTTAAATGAGGTAAGTGGCAGTCCCTTGTAAGTTACATAGGGTCAAGAAATGTTAGCTATTATACTGTCTTCCATCACTTGCCTTCTTGCTGAATGCTACCATTGACTTGATAGCCTGAAGTCACTTTTGTCTTCCTCTTATGTTCTAAATGCAATAAGCTACCGGGTACTCTCTTCTCAATGTCTCTTACATTTATCTCTTGCTTATTATTATTATTGTTTTTGAGATGGAGTCTCGCTCTGTTGCCCAGGTTGGAGTGCAGTGGCACGTCTCAGCTCACTGCAACCTCCGCCTCCCAGGTTCAAGTGATTCTTCTGCCTCAGCCTCCTGAGTAGCTAGGATCACGGACGCATGCCACCACACCTGGCTAATTTTTGTATTTTTAGTAGAAACAGTGTTTCACCATGTCGATCAGGCTGGTCTCGAACTCCTGACCTCAGGTGATCCACCTGCCTCGGCCTTCCAAAGTGTTAGGATTATAGGCATGAGCAATCACGTCTGGCCATCTCTTGCTTTTTCTAATTCAGTCCTAATCATCTTAATCCCAAACCATAACTCCTCCTTGGTCTCCCTGTCTCCATTTTTTTCTTGTTGCTAATTCTTACCACATACTACCAGATTAATCTTCCTAAACAAAGTTGTCATCATGCTGTCCCTCAGACATCTTCAGTGTTTCCCCACTGCCTACAGCCCCAACTCTTAAGCCTGGTGTTCAAGGCCCACCACAGGATTATCTCCTGCAGCTTCTTTACTTGAACTCTTTATTTCAGCCACACTTTCTAGGTTCTGTTCCTATAGACCTTGCCCATATGTCTTTGGTTAAACCCTAATACTTTCTTCCATTTGAAATCCCTTCCCTTATTTTCTTCAACGTATCTAAAACTGATCACTTCTTCAAGGCCCAGCAGACCTCTTTCCTGTTTGCAGACATTTTCTGATCACCCCTAGCTTACGGAAGTATTTCTCTAATCAACCATGTCATTTACTATTTGAACAGTTCTTTGGGTTGAATGAGTCTCTAAACAGCTTTGCATTATATTTTCATGTACCCAAGAAGGTTGTGAATGTCTTAAATGGAGGAATCATGCCTTTTAATAGGTTTGTATACTGCACTTATGCTTTACAAATGGAAGTTGCTCAATAAATATCAATTGATGGACAGAGAATTGTCTTAGGTCATACAGAAAGACACACAAATATTCAAGACCTGTGTCTTTTCTCCAGCCTTCCAGTGGGGTGAATGTCATGCATCTCTCGCCTTTCTAATCTTGGAAATGGCAATAATAGGCTAGAGTCAGAGAATGGAGTTGCATGGACTCAAAGAGAAATACGGGCTGTTGCTTACATGTATAAAATGAAAAGACGTAATAAACTATTCAATTTAGACTCATAATACAGTTTTGTATCAGTTATCTGACTGGTTCATATAAAAGAATTGTTGGGGAATGAATTAACTAGATAATTGATTTAATGATCTATTTAGCTGGACAGTCACATTTATCTGGATAGCCAGTTGAAGATAACTTACATCTTCAATTATCTTTACAAGAAAACATAAGAGGAATGTGTATCAGAATGTGTATGTGGAGTGGTGGGAGGGCTAAAAAGATATAAAAGTGATATACTCAAAAGTTGACTTTCATCTGTAATTTGAGGCTGGATTAATTAGAGGGTTAACAAAGGGCCATTCCAGATTTGACATTTTAGGGCCTTATGATAACCTGTGAAATGCTTGCAGGTAGCAGAAAAGAAAAGATGTAGTCTCTTAAGTTTCTCCAAAAAGGTCTATTCCAGGTATGATCTGAGTTAGGGTGGGATATTTTTTTTGTCTGGGCGTGGCTCTGTCTCTGGAGGGAGTTCAGAAACAACAGGAAAAGGTTTTTCTTTCAGGGGGTAGGCTAGAACAGACAATCTGTGGTTAACGCGCTGTATAACCAAGTGTTGCACCTTCTGTTTAATTGGCTTATGTGTTCAAAATCACAAAGAAAAATAGCAGTCATTGTTCTTAGATGTTAAATGTCTTCATACATGTCCCTGAGAAACACTCCCCAGCAGTGAAGCTATGTGTATCATCCTGGGCACGTACTGCTTTATCAAATAAAGACATATTTTTATCTAAATTGGTTTGTGTGTGATGTATGGTAGAAAGTCAGACAATTCAGGGCTCATATCCCAGCTCTGCCATTCAAGAGCTGTGAGCCTCAACTTTTACATCTATAAAATGGGATAATAATGCCTACCCTATAGAGTTGTTATAAAAATGAAATAATTTATTGAAAGAATTTGGTACATAGTAAGTATTATTTCTCATCATATATATTAATCCCTGAGAGCCATGAAAAGGACAAATGGTTACAGAGGCACTCACCACTGGATGGTACTCACCCAGGCAAGCAGGTGCCTGCCAATTGGCATCACAAGCAAAGGGGCTTTGACCAGTAAAGCATTAGAGTAGCAAATGCCATGGAAATAATTGCATAGTTATGTAGAGAATTACCTCCAGCCAAGAGCACCTGCATACAACATCCAGGGGCACAAGTAAAGTTTAGAACAAAACACCAACACCAGAGGGTCACATTGCTTTTTTTTCCTTGCAAAATAAGACTCCAGGAAGAACAAAAGAGATTTACGGATTACACTGCCAACTTCTCAGAAGAAAGGCAACATGTCAATCAATCATGTATTAGATGCATGCCTGTAGTTATGTGCCTGTGGTCTAAAATAAAATGGTAATAGCCTAACTCTAGACATCTCTTGACAGAGCTCTCTGTCACACATTGAGATGGAAAAGCTGAGTATAATGCCTCTCTTTGTAATTGTCCTATTTTATTTTCACCTGCAAAAGCTCCTTGGCAGATCCTCGCCTATCGACATCCATCTCAAGACAGCGATTTAAAAAGTCACGGAATACAGCCGACAGTCTCTCAGGATTCTGGAGCTCTGGGGTTCCATTAGTGGCTATCAGATACAATGCCTGTAGAAAAAAATAGAAAAATCCATTCGGCACATACATATTAAAATCATGGGTTGGCACAGAAGGCAAAAATCCAGTTTCTTCTGGTTTACATTCTGGGTCTTAATAATTCCAGTTTAGAGAATGACACATATCTTTCAAAGCTTCTATAACATTTAGAAATGATTAATATTGGCAGTAACTGACGTGACAGTAAAGTGTCCTACCTCCAAAAACTTAAAAATAAGGTTATTTTGTTGTCCTCCGAGGGTTAAGCCAGTAAAAATCCACATATAATGAATATGTGATTAAGTACCTAGAAAATTAAACCAAAGGATTGCCTGTAAATCTATTTATCTAAAGACTTGGGGAATACACATACATCCATTCATTTTGACCTGAGTATAACTTTGGGGAAGTGCAATGGAAAGGTAATTGTGATTTACTAAGTGCTTATCTTGCTTGAAGAATGTTTGTGAATAGATGTAGAATGAAGAGAGTACATTACAGAATTAGGGAAGTACAAGGAACCAGAAGATGCCAGTGCCTGGATGAGAGAGGCAAGCTGTGGGGCCCAAGAACTCAAATACTTTTACCCTGTGGCAGCTGTATCCCTATTGATTTTAATTAGATTTCCCATGAAGGTACACCTACAATGAGAGGAAATATGAGAAAAATTGACAATAGTAGTCTTGGCACCTGACAATTATCATGGTAAAATAATAAGTTGCTAATAATCGTATATTTCTCTGAGAGCTTTGTAGTATAAGGCCACCACTAAGAGATGTCAAGTCATGATGTCCTGAGAGAATCAAGGTCTCTAGTCTTCCAATCAGAGAGCTGAACTCAGGACTATGATTAATTCACAAAGGTAAACCCATCATTTTTTTTTTTTTTTTTTTTGAGACGGAGTCTTGCTCTGTTGCCCAGGCTGGAGTGCAGTGGCATGATCTCGCTTCACTGCAGCCTCCACCTCCTGGGTTCAAGTGATTCTCCCACCTCAGCCTCTGCAGTAGCTGGGATTACAGGCATGCATCACCATGTTAGTAGAGATGGGGTTTCAGCATGTTGGCAAGGCTGGTCTTGAACTCCTGAACTTAAATAATCCACCCACCTTGGTCTCCCAAAGTACTGGGATTACAGGTGCGAGCCACTGCGCCCAGCTGAAGGTTCTTGATACAAGAAAGCTGGCCGTTACTGATGCCTCCTCTCAGCAAACAATTCAAGAGCATTTAATATGTACCAGATAGTTTATTAGACACTGGAGAGCTAAGGATGAATAAGACAGTGATCTTGCTTTGAAGAATCACGCAATTTAGTGAGGGAGAGAGACATATATAGAGCGCGACTGTACAGCGGACCAAGAGCTAATTGAGGAAACTAGAAAGCACTAAGTAAATACAAGGATGAAGTAGTTCACACCAGAGCTCAGAGAAAGCTTCACGGAAGAGGCTGACATTTTAAAAGGGTATTGAAGAATAAGTAGGAGTTTGCCTGCAGGTACTGCCAGGGTTTTACCAGCCCATGCAACAAACCCCCTAACTCTTACGAAGACATGTTCCCTCCTGAACTTGCCTGGGTTTTGCAGCAAATTATCATCCCCTTTCTCCTTTCTCTACTCTAGCTTCTGTTATTATTATAGGTATTTCTATAAAAGTCCTTTTGCAGGCCAGTTTTCATCAGCTCTTGAAGACATCTCTTCTTTTTAGTAACTCCTACAGATGTACTTTAGAAAGGGTCAGGAACAACCGTTTAATCTAGTGGCTGCCAACTTTACAGCATGCATCAGAATCATCCAGAGGGTTTGTTAAAACACAGGTTTCTGAGCCACCCCAAGAGTTTCAGTAAATATGGGCAGGGGCCCAAGAATTTGCGTTCGTATTAGTGTCCTGTTCATGTTGAAGCTGCTGGTTCCAGGACAACACTTTAAGAACAACTGGTTTAATCCACCCAAGTAATTAAGCAATGGGCTAAACTAGAGGGTCCCAGACTTGTCTGCACATTAGAATCACTTGGGGAGAGTTAGAAAATCCCCATGCTCAGTTCTCACTCCCAGAAAAATTAAGTAAAAACCTCTGGGAACAGAACCTAGGCGCCAATATTTTTAAGCTTTCCAGGTGATTCCAATTTACAGCCAACAATGAGAATCCCTGGCTGAGAACCTGGAGCCCACTTCATACATAATAACTTAGAATCTCCGCATCATATGTACACCAAACGTAAGAGCCACAGAATTCCATAGGAGATTGTCTTGCATAGCAATGTGTGAGAACTACAATGCCATATGCTTCTCTACAGTGCATGGAAACTTTTGGCTTTTCCTCCTAGTACTAAAAAACCCACATGTGAATACATCCCTCACCCCTACGAAATGTACATCTTCCTTTCCCCCAACTCTCATCCCTTTGTAATTTTCAATACCTCCATTGATGAACAGGAAATGCAAGTGGCAGCTATTAGGACTCCCATGCCAAAACACAAGTCAGTGACAAATCCAGTTTTGACTAAAAGGAGATGGGATGCTTTTAGAAAATCACTGATTGGGCTAAAATCGAATAGTGCACAATCATAGCAGATATAGTCAATTAAGTTCAAACTGTTTTTGTTCTTGGATGATTAGTGCTTGAAGCACCTGTCCTCCCAAACATCTTTATTCCTTTATTAAAAGAAAATCAGTTGCTACAAATTGCATTCCCTGCCTCCTCCTAAAACTCTTTTATTTCAGCTGGCTACAACTTCCCCAAAGTCACTGTTCTTGCTTTTTTGCTTGCTCTGTAGCCAAGCCCAGACCCAAGCAAGCACATCTCTTTCTTCCTTTCCCAGATTCGTTTTCACTCTCTGTAGATCTGTATTCATGCTATACTGTCTCATTTTCTCACTTTACTTTCACCATTCTTAGCTTAATACATTCTATTCCACATAATTTTCTTCCTTAAAAGTACATACACATCTTCTCTACCCGAGTCCTTCTCATCTCTCTTCAATCTATGCATAATTACCTAAGGAAATACTTGGCCCTTTTTCCATTCCATTTATGAATCCAAAAAAATGACCTTAATCATAGTTGTTACGCCTGAGTAGTGCTAGTGAAATAGTACATCAAGGGAGAAGAAAGCCCTGTAATTTGAAGGAAAATCTGAGGTAATGAAGAGCCAGTGCTACGAACCTCTACAGTACTTCAAAGAACCGTTATGTCCTCCTCAGAACTTCGACAAAAAAGTCTGGCTGTAGTTTTTGTTAGCGGGTGGGTCTGATAGGGGGTGGGTTTGTTAGGGGGTGGGTAGGAGGTTTTGATTGGTGATCTAACAGCAGACTCCTGCCCCGGTTGATTAAGTGTTGATCTTCTGCTTATACTCCCTCATCCCTAAACAAGGTATCAAATGCAAGGCTGCCGTTTGCTCAACAATATATCATAAATATTTTTTGATGTTTTAAAAATTCTTCATAAATATCATTTTAAGAGCTGCATAATAGTTCATCATGTCAATGCACCATAATTACTATTGGTGAACTGATTTAAAAATGCATGCAGTAAGAAAAAGGCTGAAATACACCAATTTGTGAACACTGGTCCTCTCTGGATGGTAGGATTGTTGGTGACTTAATTTTTGAAATACATTTTTTAATTTTCCAAATTTTCTACAATGAACACAGTTGCTTTTATTATTTTAAAAACTCCAAAACATTATTTAGAAATACAGTTAAAAAGCTGCAGTGTCCAATTTACACAAAAATCCCCATCTATTTCTCTTTGTCTTCCTAGGATTAAACCTGATTCTCATCAAGCCCTACCCTTTGAGGGAAACAAAAACCCAGACTCTTTCTTTTGCAACTATTGTTTTCATTTTAATTGCAACAGTATTATTTCAAACTAATTTCCATTGCAAAAATCCACACTTTCAGTTATATATGGGCTAAACTGGCTTTTGTGGACTGGCCTGGGAACCTAATCACTATGTATAATGCCACTTCTATGGGAAAATGCACTCTGAGGTCCAAATAATTAACTTAAAAATGTGCTTTTGGAACACATCCTGTGAGTAAGCTGGGGACTCTCTTAGCAAAAAAAAGAAAATTGCTATCCACTACCCTGCTAATGAGAGACAAATACAGTTGTAGCCAATACAACAATGACAACAAAAAGGGTTTTACTAGCAAAGTCAAGTATTAGATGAAGAAAGATGAAGGACAATTGTTCTAGGCATGAGTGATAACATGTTGGTTTTATCTGAGCTAATGAAAACTCAAAGAAAATAAAGTGGCTATTAGAAATTAGGCTAGAGATTTCCCATATACTAGTTGATTGCTTCTAATGTTAAGTAAGAAACCATATAATCATCTTTCCCCCCTTCTTCCTCACCCAGCAATCTTCCCCTCTCCCCACCCTTACTATAAATAGTCCACCAGGTTTTGTTAATGCAACCTTTAGAAATGTCTTTCATACCCATCCACTTCTCTCTATCCCTATTGTCTTTGCTTAAAGTCAGGCTTCTTTCAGATGGTTCCAAGGTTATGATAACCTCCTAACCGTTTTTCCATTATTCAAGCCTTTTTATTCTTCCGTCCATCCTCCTTAACAATCTTATCTCATCACAGTTCTCCTCATGTAATTCACTTCCTGCTTTAAAATATTTTGTCACTCCCCATGGTCCACAGATGTGGTTTTCAAACTGTGCTCCCCAAAATTCCTAAGAGCAGTTAAGAGGGAAAAGAAGAGGGAGAGAGAGGGAGGAAGAGAGATTCTAAGACCCTCCCCAACATACATTTTCTTTTTCCTTTTCCTTTTTTTTTTTTTTTTTTTTTTTTGACAGAGTCTTGCTCTGTTGCCAGGCTGGAGTGTAATGGTACGATCATGGCTCACTGCAATCTCCACCTCCTGGGTTCAAGCGATTCTCCTGCCTCAGCCTCCCGAGTAGCTGGGATTACAGGTGCCCACCACCACACCCAGCTAATTTTTGTATTTTTAGTAGAGATGGGGTTTCACCTTGTTCGCCAGGATGGTCTTGACCTCCTGACTTTGT